GTCACACCCTTCCTAATAACAAAAGCTACATTTATTAAAAAAAAACTGTATATAAAACAAGAGTATATATCTGTCTAAAGTTTGTTGAACAAAATGATAAATTACTCCATATATATGGGTTATGTTTGAGTGCTCACACTATAGAGTAATTTATTATTGTGATCAACAAAATTTGGATTCATATATATACTATTATTTTGTGCATGAAGCGTTTTTTAATAAGGGTAGTTTTGATCATTAAGAAAGGTACGACGTGATTCACATGGAGAGTAACATCACCTACATAGAGCACAATGCCACTAGTATCTTTTGCATCTGAATTTTTTTGTTTAGATAATTTAATGGGGAAAAGATGATTTGATTTATCTTTATGCTTGGATGATGATGAAAAAGAGCTATTTTTTACGTCTGTTTTCGCATTTGTTTTCTAGGTAAATTAAGAATTAGTTTTTTGAAAGTATTAATGAGATAATGCTTATTAGTGGGAATAGAAACTCACGAGTGTAGGGTCACTACCACCCCAACGCCTTTCCAGCCATCTCTTGTCTCAAAGTCGAGCCCTGCATTAAATCGTAACGTGTTTCACTAGCATATGAAAAGCAAATGCCATCATTGTCTATTTAGGGGCGTCTTCCAATCTCACGTTGAAGTTTGGACACCTCTTGCTTTTCCTTGACAAAGTTATCCTCCAATATCCTCTTCTTTTTTAGAACGTTGGATCACTTTCCCAAATTCTCAGCTTTCCCATTTCATTCCTATTGCTTTAGCAGTGTCGATCCGAGTTCTAACGGTTTACTCGAAATAGGAAATGATTGCAATTGGGAACATAAATTGTTTCCTGTTATTTAATTATGTTTAATTAATTAGATTTATTATTTTATGTATTATTATAGATATAGATAGATTTTTATTCAATTAATATCTATATCTACTAATATCTATTAATATTATATTTATAATGGTATTCATTTTTTAATATTCATTTTATTTAGATTTACTATTGAATTTCTATTCTATTTCTTTAGATTATAGATTATAAAGAATTATAATTTTATTTGTATTTCTTTCATTTCAATTTTAATGATTTTTTTAATTTATTAATAATAAAACATAAAAAATACAAAATAGATCCAAAAAAATAAAAAAAAATATTTAAACTTTAAAGTGAAACTCTAAAAAACATATCTAAATGAGTTTAACAAATTAGTGAATAAATAGATTTGAAAAATCAATTTGTTAGTATAGTATTTTAGAAATAATCCAAAGAAGAAGAGAAAATATAAAAATAAATATTCATGATTAAATTACTTTCCAATCTTTGTCAAAATAATAGAAAATGTATAAAAACACATTACAAAAAAAATTCTTATTTCTTTTAGATTTCTTAAACAAGCCCTAGGCGGAAAACGATCACATCTTTAGACTCTCTGTAATAATTCTAAAATTTCAAAAAAAAAATAAATAAAAATAAAAATAAAAAAATAAAACTTATAAATAAGTGATGGTTCGTATGAGCATGATGGTCCTTAAGACCATCACTACTTTCAAAAGCTTTTACTTGGATTAAGCTTTTGCTCTTGCCCCGTCCTTTAGTGGATGTAACTTAATAAAAGAATATAATAAAGTATCATAAGAATTTAAATAGGAGAAGTGAGGACTCCCACCCTATAAAATTTTGAGATCTCTCTCTCTAATCGATACGCATTGAGCTCTTTCTCTCTTTAGCCGAATTTTTATCGGAAGCTTCCTCTCAAATATTTTAGGTAAGTCGCTTTATTATATTGAAAAATAATCCATTCTTTTTAAAAATAAAATGAAATAATTACTTCTGCTTATTATCATGAATTTTAGGCACAATAAATTTTATGCGCAAGCGACCTCATTATTTTGAAAAATAATCTTTTTATAAAAATTGTGATATTTTATCTATATTAGAAATTTTAAATGCTGTATATTCTTAGAAAAATAAATTTATTTATTTTTCTTGTCTATTGTTAGAAAATTTTAGATATTGTAAAATTATTAGAAATAAATGTGATATTTCTTCTTTTAGTAAAATTGTGAGATTTCTTTCTACTGTTTTTTAATATTTAGAGATTGTAAAATTCATGTGCAAATGACTGTCTTATTATTTGAAAACTGATATTTTCGCATTTGATTATAGCATTGCCTGTGAAATGTTTATTTGTAAATTGAAATTCTATAAATTGTGATAATTCTGTATTCTTGAATTTCTATAAGATTTTTTTTTTATACATATTAGATTGGCATATATGTTAGAATATCTTTACGAACTGCCACCTTTCTAAATTTGAGCCAAAATATTTGACTGGTTATTTTTGAAGTGTTATTGAAAATAATTGTTATTAATGGTTTCAGTGAAATTCATATTAATAATTCCAGTGATATGTTGAGTACACGATATTGCTACTTTCGAATGTTTTAAGAGATTTAGAAATACTTTAAGTATGCAAGTGGACTCATCCGGTTCACCGGTGAGGTATAAGTGGACCTATCTGGTATGCCGGTCGGGATTAAGTGGACTCATCTGGTACGCCGGTGAGGTATAAGTGGACCTGCAGGGATTAAGTGGACCTATCTGGGACACCGATAGAGATTAAGTGGACCCATCAGGATGCTAATGGGGTATATAGGTGACCTACTTGGAACGCCAGTAGGGTATTTTGTGATATCTTTTGAATTATCCATTGATGTTAAAATGTTATATGCATTTCAATTATTCGGATTATACTTAGTTATGCATTTTTTAAAGTGAAACTGTTAATGCATTCCTGTTAATAGATCTCCTTTTTTAAAATATTGATATCTTTCAATCATGATTATTTTTTAGGATTATAATGATCACTTACTGAGTAGCCGAACTCATCAAACTATGGTAAACATTTTTTTCGAGATAACTGTGGTTTCATTTTGAGTGCTCGTTAGGATCAAACATTGGAAGATATCGTAGTTGTGCTTAAACTTTCTTTTATTACTTTGTAAGAATTCGCCACTGTAAATTTGTCCTATCAAGCAATGTATATATGTTTTGACTGTCACATCTCAGGAATATCTGTATTGTAAATTCTTGGGGTGTGACACTCTCCTATGGCAGAGGCTGCTTGTTACTTGGGCCATTCCATCAAATTCTTAATGTGCAGGTTTAGGTATTTTTAGGGTGCAGTGATTTCATGCAATGGTTGTATAGTAATGTAATGAAACAATTTTCAAAAATCATGTTAGGGCTAGTTGTTTGAACCAAATTTTAAAATCTACACTCTTTTCATTCTAATAAACGATCACAACAAAAAAAAAAAGAAGTTGAAAACACAACTTTGAAAGTGTCTTTTAGCCCAATTAACGTAGGCCATCTATTTCGGTGAGATGCTTAGATCTAGGCCTTAGAAGGAATTTTTTTTCTTTCCAAACTTTTTACGTAACTTTATTATAATTAGATAACAACGTTAAAAAATAAAAAACTGATTTTGAATTCATAAAGGCCTAGATCTTGAAATTCACCAAATGGGAGGTCTAGATTCATTGTTGGAGGTGACTCATTTTGACCATATAAAAGGTGTAAATTAAAAAAAACATTCTTTTGAGATTAATTATTGAGATAAAGAGAGTGTGCCCGAAATTTTGTCACACAAATACCATAAACATGTTTTTTTAGAAGTGTGAATTTATTATTTGGTGTGGTTTGTATAGAACCTAGGCTCTAAACAATCAAAATTAGAACATGCCTTTAAATAATGTCAAGAAATGTGGTTTCAATATTAGAAATCTTTGTAATAACCTTAAAATATAGTTTCATATTTATTTATAACGTTTAAAGCTTTAAAAATAGTGTAGATCAACATATCTATGAAAACTTGAAAATCTTGAATATTAATGGTCCAAAAATGCGTTACAAAATACATGATTTCCAAAACATGCAATCCATTTTTTTCAGATGTCCATCCATCTTGATGTCAAGACGATCAATTTGAAGATATTTGAGCATTAAAACAACCTCTTCTAGTGAAATTTTGGAGGTAGGCTCAAATTTGATTGTTTAGAGCCTCGGCTCTATATAAACTTTTCCCTTCACTATTATACTATAATGACATGATATCATTTCCTTATTTATTTTACATATTCTTTGAAGAAATAATCATCTAGTGACAGATTTAGTTATTTTGACATATTTGAACATTCATGATGGGAAAAGGCTAAGATGATGATGATGGACATTCAAAATCCGTAGAGGGGGTATTTTTGAAAAAATAAGAAAAGGGCAAAAATTAAAAAGAAAAAAGAAAAAAAAAAGGGGAATGAACCATTGTTAGAAAAATCGGGCGATCCAACCGGTGACCACCCGGTTAGATAGGAACCGGCCCCTTGCCAGTTCCAGTTTCCGGCAGTTTTGGTGAACGGCCAGTATTTTAAAAATAAAAATTCAAAAAAATGTCTATAAAATGCCAAAAATAAGGAATTTGATTTGAAATACATTTTTTTAATCTTTTTTACATTGTGTGAATATTAAAATTTATTTTGGTCACTAATACTCACTTTTAAAATCCATTTTTTTCATTAATTTTCAGCTTCATTTGAATGCATTTTATTTTAATCATTCTTTATATGTTTTTCACATTTCAGTATATTTTTTTTTTGCAACTTTTCTAATTTTTTCAATAATTTTTTGGCTACCCAGGACTTATCCGGTTAGAACGGTTGAATCGGCCGGTTTACCGGTTGGGCCAGTTAAACCGCTTCCGACCCCATGACCGATTAACCGTTGTGGTTCGATTTTGTGAACACTGGCGTGAACACAAAAGCGAAAGATAAGAGAGCATCTTATGATAATCATGCTTTCAGCACTAAGAATCGTGCGCGAAAGTTCTATCTCCCAACATGACATAAAAAAATGTGAAGTAATAAACGAAGTTTGAATTTATGTGCTTCATATGCTCTATAAATATGTACAAGACTTTGCCTTGTTTCAAACCAGACGCTCTCTACCATTTATAGGGACAAGGCCGGTACAATTGTCTCAATGGATTTGACCTCAGCAGCATGCAAAACCACAACTAATCGTCGGTCTGCAAACTATCTGCCTACCGTTTGGGATTATGATCGCATTAAAGCAATAAGAAGTGAGTATCAGGTAAATCGAATGGTGATTATACAAGTCAGAATTCGTAATTTCATTGATTTGCATCATAGGAAAATTCACAAAATTTTAGGAATCGGGTTTGAGCTTAAGTGGTTAGCAGCAGGTGTTTAGCAGGGCTATATTAGTGTCGTACCTCAAGCCTGACTCCTATCACTGAATTATTCAAAAAAAAAAATCAAAATAATTCATTTTCAATGAATTAATTTAAGTATGCACTCAGCTAAATTAGGAGAATAGGATATGTAAACTTCAATTTGTAATGTCAATCACAGTATCTAAGAACTTGAATTGAATCAAACAACTAAATCCAAGTGAGCTCACTGAGCTAAACTTTTAACTCATGGAAGCTCCCCCTACAAGTGTCCTATGTCTCAGCCGAGTTACTCGACCTCGCCCCTATGAGTTATTTATGTCATTTGACATAGGTAAAGCAAATACCCCTTATTGTTCGTCATTTCTTATACCAAACAAGCTATTCAATATTTTTAACCTTAAGCAAACAGGGTATTTTAATCATTTTGTTAATGACTTTTCAGAGGTAAAATTATGAAAAATATGGCTAATTGTTTAGGTTTTCAAACACTGAATAGGAGCAACGTGAGCTTTTTTTAATTTCTTTCTTTTTCGAGACATACCTGATTAAAAATAAAATTTAAAAACAAACCATCAAGTAAATTGTGATCATTTGAACCTACAATGTTTTTGGAGTGGGTTTGAACCCCTTAACTTATATTTCCCCAAAAAAAATTTCCACATATCAAATATAGTGCATACAACTGTTTAACACAACCACCCGTCAAACCCATATTCGTCTATACTTTGGAGGTTAAGATCTAAATACATGAATCAACTCCCTTTTATGTTTTATTTTTCCTTTCAAGATCTAAATTAACTAATTATCTACTCAATCGTAAGAGACTCCCATAATTATCTACTCAATCGTAAGAGACTCCCACAGTTAGCAAGTCTCCAATTAAAACACAATTGTTTTTTGAGAAAATCTCCAGTATTTTTAAATTCATTAAAAACTCCATGTTTTTTAAAAGATCTTCAAAACATCATGTTTTTTTAATTGAACCAATATAAATCCGTACTTTATCTTTTTTCATAAATTTTTTTCAAAAAATCTCTTCGCCATAAATTTATGCCTTCACTGATTTAAGACCTTTGAATTTTGGTTAAAGGATAAGTACATTAAAAGTGGGAGTTTATTAAGAATCTTAATTTAACAAATATTTCTAAAAAAAAGTTAGCCAATATGCTCCCTTCAAAAAGTGCAATATACTCCCTAGAAAATAATCTATCAAAATAGCCATACATCTCAAAATAATTGTTAGAGTCATGAGAAGAGTAACCCAATAAGACACTTGAAGATTTAGGCAATTGGGAATATAGGGTGAGCTTCGAATATTTAAATGTGCTTAAGCATTTTGTTGCATTTTTTTTGCATATAGAAGTTTCCTTAGTTTCACGTTTCTTATTATTTATTTTTATTTTATTGGTGTACACAGTATAGCATTTTGGATGGACTACTACTTTACGTTTTTAGATTTTTTTGTTTTAGTTTATTGCTATCCTATGTTGGGAGTCTGTTTGTTTTCTCTTTGATTAATAATCGTATATCTTGGGCTACCATGGCTGCTATTTACTAATGTAGTTTTTGTGTTTAGTATTATTGTTGTTATTTTATTATATGCTCCCGTTACATCTGTCATATTTTTTGTGTCGTGACAATAAAGTAAATATTGTTGTTGCAATTATTAAAAGTTTAGACAAAAATTTGTCAATAATGACTCTAATGATACAACATAAAAAAGACAAACTTATTTTCTAATGGTTTTAACATATCTATATAATAACTATAGCTCATAATCTTATATTGTGTTATAATATATTTACGTATCTAATGTTTTTTACTCCATTTCCATATTTCTCTTACTTACTACAACTCCTACGATCTTCCTGTTTCAATTATAAAAAAATCTTAAATGATCGTCATGTATCCTCCCCTCAACTATGCCTTAACATGTGTATATACTTGCAAGAGACGCATGTGATGCATACTTAATTATTGCGATTACCCCTTCCAAATGTAATAACACTTTTTTTATTCCCCACAAAATCTTTTTGGGGATTGAGAATTAGGTTTTCAATAAGGTGAATAACCCTCAAAAAACAGTAGATTCTCCATTTACTCATATTCGAAATATTTACTTTTTAAATTGAAACACAATATTCATTACAAGGTCAAGTGCATTAGATTTTCTATTATATATCTCCAAAACAAATTACCTGTTATAAAGTATTTATTATAGAAAGAGATAGAAATGAAAATGGATTACGGAGTAGGTTACCTAAAACTTTGGTCTCCCTCAAAAAGTATCCTATTCTAAAGTCTCTCTATAGGGTCTTAAACTTATTGAGTGCCTCGATGTCCCTATCCATAGAAGAGATATTATAGATAGGAGCACCTATACCATGCTCTTGTGGGCGCATTGCTGTTCATCTACTCCCTTGAGCAATAGACCTACTTGGTAGGCCTGAGAATGGATCGGATCGGGTCAAGATCCACTAGGTTTTGGATTCAAATCCGAAAAGTATACGGGTCGCCGATCTTGATAAGGATTCGATCGGATCCAGAATATTCAGATTCGGATGCGGATCCAAAAAGTATTCATGGGATTCAAATTCGGATCCGTACCCTATCAGATAAAAATAAAACTATTTTATATGTATCAGATCTAGAATATTCAGATCCATATCCATATCCAGATCCAAAAAGTATACATGGGTTTGAATTCGGATCCGGATCTGGACCCTATCAGATCCAAAAAATTTATTTTATATCTATAAAATAATATATAAAAAAAAATTATATAGCATACATGTTTATATAATACCATAAAAGAAATGGGTTAATATCCACGTGTACTGGATCCGATATGAATTATTATTCGGATCCAAATTTTAGATCCATTGGATTAAACCCAATCTAAGAGAAGTTTAGGATTCCACATTGGGGAATATAACATTAGCAACCTGTACTAACCTCAAAAAAGAAAAATTCCAAATCTCACGCTTTACGTAGGGGTAGCAATGGACCCGGACCTAACCCTAAAGTCTGGGTATGAGTCCAAGAATTGGACCCTGCGGGTCGAGTCTGAGTCCAAATATTTGACCCAAACACTACTTGGGTCCGGATCTGGGTCTAGTTAGTCCAATCCGGTCCTGATCAAGGTCTCATAACTTTGGGCCCAATCGTGTTCGGTCCCTTCATTTTTGTTCAGGTCCCTCGTAAGTGTGAAATATTTTGGTAATGGATAAACGATGCTATACAATATATCAACATAAAGGCTATTTGGGTTTCAAAATACCATAAAAGAAATGGGTTAATATTCATTGCCTATTCTTTATTTTTTGTTAGTTTTAGATATAGAGTAATGATCCTATAGGATCTTCCCATGTGTGTAGGACCTTAAGGGATCACCACTAAAGTTGGCACGGATCTCTAAAAAAGCTATTATATGATTGTGGGATTTGACTTTTCTATAGATCCGTGTCAAATTTAATGATGATCCTTTGGGGTTCTACACACGTGGGTAGGGGAGAGTCCAATAGGATCATTTCTTTTAGATATAATACTTGTTATATCCACTACATATCCATTGCTTTTCAACTATAAGGCTTGTTATTCGCTATAATTTTCTGAATTTCAATTCGACATGCCACCATGTTTACTTGTCTTATATTTGTTTCTGTGATGCATGTTTGAACCATGAACGAGATCACATGTGGCTAATAATTGTTTCTTTATTCAAGATTTATGTTCCCCTTTTTTGAATTGATGGAGTTAAGGACTTTGAAACAGGGAGAGCAATATATGAACAGATCCAAGGTGCTAAAGCAACAACTCAAGGCACTTTTAGTAGAGAGAATAAATGAACCAGTTGCATTGGGCGAGCTCATAGACTCCATCCAACGATTGGGAGTGGCCTATCACTTCGAGGAGGAGTTCGAAGTAGCTCTAGCCAACATTTACACCAGTGGAAATATCCAGCAGTCATGGCGTGATGATCTCTATACAGTCTCACTCGCATTTGGGCTACTTAGACATCATGGATATCATATGTCATCAGGTACTTAGCAAAGACAACACTTATATAAGTTTGTAACTTAGATCTCTATTTACATCCTTTTTGTCAGAAATTATAGTTTTTTTTGAATCTTGAAATGACTGAACAAGTGGTAGCTAGCTAGCAAACAAGAGGATTGTTTACCGTAGTGAATGAAACATGTGTCACCAGACGTATTTGGAGGATTCAAAGATGAAAAAGGGAGTTTCAAAGTAAGTGTGATTGGAGACGTGAAGGGATTGTTGAGCTTGTATGAAGCTTCTCACCTGTGCTTACCTGGAGAAGATGTATTGGATGAAGCATGGGCTTTCACAAGTAGGAATCTCAAGAAGGCTTTGATGGAACAATTAGAGCCAAGTCTTGCTCAAAAAGTACGACATTCGTTAGAGATTCCTTTGCACTGGAGAACGATCAGGCAAGAGGCTAAACAGTACATGGGAGTCTATGAGCAAGCGGATAACATGGTCCCCATTTTACTTGAATTTGCTACATTGGAATTCAACTCAGTACAATGCATACACCAAGAAAATCTTAAACATATGTCAAGGTAATATCTACTGTTGACTTTTATCCTTACCTCATTGCTCAGCATAACTCTTGTGGCTGCTAACTATTTTTGTCTATGTAGGTGGTGGACTGATTTGGGCTTCGCAACTAACCTACCTTTTGTTAGAGACCGGATTGTTGAAACTTTATGGTGTACGATAGGGCTTATCTTCGAGCCTGAATTCAGCATGACAAGGGAGGCCCTCACCAAAATAGGTTGCCTAATGGCATCTATTGATGATGTTTATGACATTTATGGATCACAAGATGAATTAGAACTCTTCCCCATGGCGGTTCAAAGGTACGACAATATTTGGTTCTTCATTCCTCCTTTAGTATCCAACTAGCAAGCCAGCCCTGCAGAGTTGCAAAGATCAAGAGGTTATTGATTTTTTAGATATTTTATGAAGGAAAACGTTTTCGTATGGCCTTGGCCTCATACAACCGAGTGGCTACTCATCATTTTTAACCTCTTGGATGGGTGAGGAATGAAAAATTTGCCATTTAATTCTCTTGTCCACCACTATGAATTTTTATAAAAAAGAAAATAGATCTAGAGGACTAAAAATGTTCTATCTTGAATTCATTCAAATGATGGACTTTGTAGGGTGGCCCCAACCAGGCAGCTGATAAATGCACATTTTAAACAATGACCATCATTTTCTAAATCACATTCAAAACAAAAACTTCCATACCTGAGTTTCACTTTTTTTCTTTTAAACTGAAGGATAAGATTTTAAATTAAAATAGACTGTTTTGTTTTACAATCAGTAGTCTTTTTAGGAAAAACAGAAACATTTCTTGATAAAAATATTTCTAAAATGAACATACTGAAACAAGGGTGATTTAAAATATGGCACCCAACCACCCTCCAAACCCGCACACATAATCTGGAGCAAATAAATTTTCTAGTTCTTCTATACATTATTTCAATACATTGTGGCCCTGTTCAAGATTATCATTTATTGAGGAATAACATATTTTTTACCTCCACCTATTTAAGAGTGAAAAAATGGCATAGCTTGGTCCCATATATCATTTTCAAGTGAGAACCTTCATATTAATCTTGCTTACTAGGAAACACTGGCAATAAAACCCTCCCTGTTTTTTTTCAAGCTACCCTCTTCCTTAGTGAAGTGGATGCGCCATACATACGAGGCCTTATTCTTACATTATATCTCAAGGAAATTCAGGAGGGATTTAAAAGCGATGGAGAGCCTTCCAGATTATATGAAAATATGTTATTTGGCCATATACAATACAAATGATGAGATATCTTACAACATTATGAAGGAAAAAGGATGGGATATTAAAAACTACCTTAAGAAGATGGTACTGTATCATGCACTTTGTATGTTTATTTACTTAAGAGTTATACATAGTAAATCATATGTTGATTATGGATTTCAGTGGGCAGAACTATGTAAAGCATTCTTGGTTGAGGCAAAGTGGTACAAGATGGGTTACACACCAACCTTAGATGAGTATCTGAGTAATGGATGGATATCAGTATCAGGGCCACTAATCTTGGTCCATGCATATTTCCTTGTTGCACAAAATATTACAGAAGAGGCAATAAATTGCATAAGCAATGACCAGAACCTCATTCAGTGGCCATCGTTGATTTTTTGACTTTGCAACGACTTGGCGACTTCTACGGTGAGGCTAGCAATTATCTTACAAAATTTTCATCATATGCTATTGAGCACATTTGGGTGATATCATTTAATTATGTGACTTATGCAGGATGAGATCCAAAGAGGAGATGCAGCAACATCTATTCAATGCTACATGCATGAAACTGGGGCATCCGAGGAACTTGCCCGTAGTAATATCAAGGAGCTGATCAGAGATGTATGGAAAAAGCTCAATGGACAGTGTCTTACTACTTCCCTCTTTCCTAAACCATATACCAATATTGTAGTTAACCTTGCACGGGTGGCCTATTGTATGTACTTATATGGAGATGGCTATGGAAATCCGAACTTTGATACTAGGGAACTTGTTAAGGAGTTGCTCTTTCAATCAATGCCAACTACTAAAGGATCTACTGCAGTAGTAGTCGGATAGACACTTCGAAACAAATAGGACCCCTGCTGCATATGCTTAAGAAGTTTGTACTTCAATTTGTACAAATAGTAGTAGACAATATCAATTTATCCCTTCTAATTCTTGTTAGAGAAGCTTAATTTTAAATGCAATCAAGTTTGAAAAAATCAGTCTGCATGCCAAACTGTATCAACACCGATGATGCTCATCATTAGAGTGTCTAGGCAAGCTCTAGTGCTCCAAAGCTTAGTGGTATAATTCTTCAATTAAAGTTGACATGGAGGATATTAAGTGAAACTTTTTTTTTTGTTTTAGGTAAGTGTTAAATTTTTCTTAAAAACATATGCCTGATAGAAAACATCTGGGATGCATAACGCCTTAGGGAAGGCTCCCTCCCCTCCCCTCCCCTCCCTTAAAGCACACCTATGTATCAACTGAATCAAAAAAAGGGTCTAGTCGGTACGCACCTATGGATCAACTAAATCAGAAAAAGGGTCTAGTCGGTAGAACCAGTTTAGATAGGCTACACATCTTCAGACTATCCTATGGCAGAGGCTGCTCGTTGCTAGGGCCATTCCATCAAAATGAGATTTGGTGGTTGGTTAGGGTGGCGATACACTTCACTTCTACGATAGGCTTCCCAACCATTGCAAACACTGAGCGAGAACAGGGCACGCAAAGTTGCGATGCATGGGGAAGCGATTTGCCGAGCAAACAAACCCGAAATTTGTGAATATTTTTTTTCAAACATGGGAACTTTACCACAAATAGCAGATTTACTTTTTAATCTTCCTTGTTAAGGAATGAGGATATCAAGCAATTAGTTTATTCAATGACTTAACCTGAAAGAACTATAGCTACTGCAATGGAAGATAGATATATTTATATGGAAAATTGTTTCATGCTGCAGGGAACGCATTTCTATATTTACGGTCCCCGAGGTATAAAGCATCTATATTAAGATGGATTCAAATAGGTGATCCATAAAAAAACAATTGAAAATAATAGTCCAAATATTTTATTAATAGAATTACTATCTCTAATTTTCAAAATTTATTTATTTATTTATATTTATGATCTACATGTAAGAGATTACATATCCTTAAAAATTAAGTCCAAAAATCCATCTCAAAAATAGACTTTTAAAAGGTGACTCATTTCTACATGGACACATAAAACCGTGTCCGCTTATATTTTAAATACAAATAGTGTGGTTTGTATAAGGTGTCAAATTAAAGCAATCAAAGCAAGTCACAGCCTCGAACTGTGTGGAATATGCAATATAGGAACCACAATGCCATGTGATGGTCTTAAAATCTATTTCATCCCTAATTATGAAAATTAAAACTTTAAAATTATTACAGATCAAGCCGATCTTTCAATAATTAAAAATCTTAAAAAGGGATAATCCAGGTAATTTTTATAATATGCACTATTTTCATGACTTAAAATCCTTCTTTTTTCATAACCATGTATCCTACTCAAGATGATCAATCAGAAGGTTTTCTAGTGGAAGAGAAAATTCTTTCGGTGGATTTTTGAAGTAAAACTTACTTGTATAGTTTAAGATCAACACATTGTATAAACTTTTTCCAACATATATTAGAGTCAAAAAAAAAGTTTAGATAGCTGAACGCCACAACAAATCCCCCTCTCTCTTTTTTTGGATGAGTCAGTGGGGAGAAGGCCCTACCCTTGTAAGAATTGAGCCTAAGACGTTAGGTTGTAAATCATCAAGCACTAACCAATTAAGCTCGGGCTCTTTTCATGTCCCCTTGTGAAGTGTACCTATTATATAGGCTTTACACAACGGTTTACAAACCACCTCCATCAAGCCACTTCCTATTTTCATTTAGCTACCACGTGTTTGTATTTTTGGGTTTTGGAAATACTATGAAGTATTTCAAAATAACGTAACGTTTTATTTGGTTTTTCTAAGTCTTAAATAAAGTTAAGAGAGACAGGTGTGATTTTTAGTACCACATTGAAGAAGATAGTGAGGAATTATATAAGTGTAAGCATTATCATGCTACATGTACATAAAACAAAGGTGAGAGTATGGATGTTCATAAAACCAATGTTCTAAAAACAAAGGTGAGAGTATGGGTCCATATTGGAAGCACATGAAATGTATGACAAAATGGACGCAAGCGTGTTGATGAAATACTTTATACTTGGCAAATTCATTTGGTAACATTAGTAACAAAGGCTTGATTTTTAAGCATGTCTATTCAAAAGGGAAACCCTTATTTCCAGCCATTGAAACCGAAACCCTTATTCCCAGCCATTGAAACCTTTGCAATAGTTAAACCAGATGTGTTTTATATTCAATAAAGCATCTATCACCGTCAAATAAAATGGAATAATCCTTTTGCATCAACCATTTAATTCTTAACATATTACATGCTAGGCATGGAATAAATAAAATATAATATGAGTGGAGCTAATAGACCAATCTTAGTACTATAGAGATGCAAGTCACCGAAGGCAACAACCGGGCCTCATGCAAAAGACTGACGGCAAACTAAACGGGCCTCCTGCAAAAGACTCGCTTGGTTTTTCCTGGTGCTATGCCGACTAAAAAATAGAAATCTCATCATCTCCCTATAGTTTGAGTATGAAACGGGATGGTGGAATGGGACTTCTCGTTCTGCCATAATATTCTGGATCACCCATAAACTCAACCGACGACCCATAAACTCGACCGACGGAAAACAAGCCCCCAATCTCTCGAACTATTGGAAGATTGAAGGTATTGGAAGGTGGATCAATGGCAATCTATAATTACTCTTTAAGGAATGCATTGGGCAAATTGCAAAAGGAGTTTCGATTGCTCAAGGTCTTGGAGGAACCAGGTTGGGATCCATTGAAGCTCAACTTGTCCTCACAAGGCTAGGGCTTGGTAAGGGTTTAAGAGCCAACAATCTTAAAGGAGCGTCAAGGATGTGAAATGGATTCAAATAAGGTTCAAAAGTTCAAAACGAGCTTTGACCCTACGAAAATTTATGGCATAGAAAATCTGTAAAAGTAGGTGTTCTTGATAAAGTGAGATATGTATTCTTTTTTCTCTCTTAAACAATTCTCTCTCCCTACCCAAAATTTCCTTCTCTTCCAAAGGAGAGGCATGCCCCAATTTTATCTCTCTCTAAGTTGCATTATGTTTTGGTGGCACGCACCACCTCTATTCTTTGTGGATGGCAACCCCTTGCTCGTAGATCTCTCCCTCTCTCTTCATATTCATCTCTCATCTCTCTAAATTAAGCTAATATACTTGATCAATTTACTTCTCTTCCCCTAAAGCAATAAATTCTAGTCTTGTTTCTTGAATAGATAATTGTATTTGAAGAGGTAGAAATTAAGAACTAATTTTATTTTTATTTTATTTACTTCAAAAGTGGTTTGATTATAATTGGACATTGTAAGTGATATTGCTGGTATAGAAGTAAACAATTTTTTAAATATATATACTTGTGCTTTATAATAAAGTCTTTTCAATAGTATCAGAGCAAAGTTGATATTTGAAGTCATTAGATGTTTTTTTCCCTTTATTGAGTCGATATCAAACTTGGGAACAATATGTAAGAAAGCTACTAATCTTTGTGGTCAAGTAATACACCCCGGTTAAAAATTATTGTAATATTCACAACACCGAGAAAGACATTTTACAAAATGAGTTTTCTGTGCTATTTTGGAGCAGTTACATGAAGACGATAATGATGTATTTGTCTGTTATATATTTAAGTGATTTTGTGTGTCTTTGGGAGTAGGATCTACCTACAAAATTTCAGAGGGAGATCTTATGGGAATTTAAAGTTATGGACTCATGATTGAAGGGTGTTAGCTTTGACCTGCAAAATCCAAGAACTGTCCATTGAGTTCCGAGATTTTTCCCACCAATGATATGATTTTATTTCTTGCTGAAATTTTACTGTGACTTATAAAATTAAGTCTACTTTCAAAAAAAAAGTTTCATCAAGAAATTATTTTTGGTTTGAAAGATATGATAGATTTATTGAAGGGTATGCAAGTGTTGTTTTCTGCGATAAAAAATATTTTCATGACTTGGAAGTCAAGATTTTATTTCTATTCTTAATAGAATATTTTATAGCTCACACTAAGTTTTCAGACTTTAATTTTGAGTCTAATTTCTGATGAAATTTATTTGAGAGAGAAATATCTATGGGAAGAGAGGAATAAAAGTTTTGTATTGAAGAGAGGTCATCCTAAATGTTTTGGCAATTATGGTATGCTCTTCATTGAGACTTAAAAACATATAATTATCAAGCTTACTTGATAAAGTGATATGAGGCTTGAAGAAATATGTGTCACCATTATGTGTTTACTTTTAAACAAAATTAGTTTGAAAGGAAAACTCCACAAAGATAGAGATAAAATACAATTTTACTAGACAATGTTCATCCTAAAATTCTGCAGTATAAGTTATTTTGTGATGTGTATATCACCTTATTTAGTTCTCTGAAGGAAGATAGTATTTGAGATTCACACCATGATGTTATGATTTGGTTTTGAGTCTAGTTTCCAACACAAGAGATTTTAGGAAGAAATTCTTTGAAGTTTGAAAGAAACAAATTTTTATCGAGATACTCAGCCTGATTTTTTGCTGAGAAAATTGTAATATAATGCAAACTGTCACTAAAAGGTAGAGTCACTAAATGGTGTGATTTAGGAATGGAACTGAGCACTATTTTATATTTTTTAGTGTATTTCAGTACTCAAAAGGATTTGGAGAGAAACTCTTTATGAGTTGAGATATATCATATTTTATCGTGGGATGCTCATGTTCTATTATGCAGTAAATTAAAAGATGTGGTATATTACTGCACATCTTTGGATTCCCAGTAATGGAAACTTTTTTAGGGCTCATTTAAAGGGTTTTATAGTGTGTCATGCATATGGTTTATTATAATAAAACTTCAGAAAGAGGTATACAGAGTGAGCAAGGTATGACGCACTATATGAAGAGTGTTCGATCTGGGAACAACAAAAAGAAGTAGAAACACAATACCTAGAACAACATCTTGGTTTCTTCGAAATGAATGGATACATAGAGAAGTTTGAAGGTAGCAAAGAAAACTAAAGATCAGTGGGAGAATCAAATTTATGATATTTAAAATGATGGGATGAAGAAGAGGTTTTTTCTTCACAGTGCTATACAAGGACCATATAGAATGTTGTAGGAAGGCTATCTTGCTAAGCTTCCTTGACACATGTTATATTGATTAAATAACTTGGTTTGTATGGATTTACTACCAAGATGACTAGTGTGGTTGAACCTTGTGGTTTATAAAGGTTTTACATATTGTGAAACCAATGGGCAATGAATTACTTATTGCATGAGACTTGTTATGCTACATCATGATATAGACATAAGAATGTTAAAAATGTATATATTGTATGTGCAATAATTGAGTAGGAGCTACTACAGTCCCACATTTTTTTTTAGCTGTTTGGATATTCAGATATACAGATGCAAGTTATCTCAAGGATTCAAATGATGTGAAGTCGACATCTGGATACGTGCTCATGCCTGGAGGGAGAACAACTTCTTGAAAATCAAAGAAACAAGATGCAGTGGCATTGTCCATCCTAGCGGCAGAATACGTGACGTGCTATTTGGAGACCAAGAAGGCCGTATGGATTAAGAAATTTTTCAATCAACTTCACTTTCAACCCACGCGTTGTGAGGCAGTGAGGATTTTTTATGACAATACGATAGAGTCGCGACTCCAAAATATCTCCAAGCGTATAAAACTAAATATTCCAGTGGAATCAGTTAGTGTTTGCTAGGTCAGCTAGAACAACAGACTATGGTGTTGTTCACCTATGAAACCCAGATGTGTGGCGCTGATTGTATGGCTACAAAAAAAAGCGGCTTATTTGAATAACTCCTTTAAGCCAATGAAGATACAATCCCATGCGATGAGGATACGTGATGATTTTCTGTGACAGCAAGTCCATGATTCGCTATGCGATATGAAAGATGAACAACAACCACTTTTAGGATGAGATCCGAGCAGCAAAGAGAAAAAGATGTTGCCTCTATGAGTCCTTTGTGAATGGATTGATGGCGAAAACCATGATTAATTTATTAAGAGAGATTGTTATTGGTAGAGACAAATGGAGATGAGAGAAAGTGAGGAAGAGATAATGTAAGGCCTTCAAAGGCCAAGTGAGAGATGTTAGGTTTATGTAGCCTTTAAAGGCCTTATGAGAACTTATATGAGCATTTTATATAGTGGAACATAAATGTGGACCATACTAGAGAAATGTTATTTGTTGATACTTGGACTAGGCTCGACGAGCTAGGCCAGCCGCGGTTTGGAAAAACCTAAGATACCTAGGCATAACGATCTACCAAGAAGGGTTCAGTGGGTTATCCCTTGATGAGGTTGGAGTATGCCCAGATGAGAGCTAAAGGACTGTGAGGCCCTTACGTGTGATAAATAGCCTTTAGAGACAGGGCTAAAACCTTATCATTATATCATCATACGGCATGTACATAGATAGCCATTTTGAGATTCACCACTGAGGGTGAAGCTTGTACATGTGCGAGAGATTATCCCTATGCAGTATAGAGTCATGGTTGCATCATGGTCTGGAGGACCATGATTTTTATCTCTAAGTGAGAACCTGAAATCCATGAACTGATATTGTGTCCCCTAGTATATTGGCTGACTTTAGTGGTCCAACTATGAACCTCTATAGTGGACTGTGGGTCATGGGAACTGCTGGGTCAGTTTGAGAAAGCTTAACGGATAGTGATTCGCAGTTGATGGTGGAGTGCTCCCATATATTGATAATTTCCTAGATCTAATGGATCTGATTCCCATCAAAATTAATTAATTGTAATTAATTTTATGTTATGTGATTTTTGGAATGTTTATTTGAATTTTTTTGAATCTTATGATATTTTATTTTTGTCATTTGGATTTATAAATTAAGCAAAATTAATTTTTCGATGTTTTAAATAAAATATAAGATTTAAAAATTCTAAATATGAAATAAAATATTTTCTAAAAATATATGAAAACTCCATAAAATATGGGGCCCAAAATTTAAATACATGTATATTAGGTGGGGCCCACACGGGTGGCACTCCCTACCCATTCACGTATTCTTCTTGGGAAGAATGTTTATCCATTATTGGCTTATCTTTTGGGTATAGCCATGATAAGGTTGAATATTTGAGATATTTACTAAATCTTTGAATCAATATTGGTTGATCCAATAATTAAGGATTGGATATATTAAAATATAAGTTTTCTTTATTTAATGACAATTGTGATTCAATAATTAAGGAATTGATATATTAAAATACAAGCTTTCCTTATTTGATGGGAATAGATTTTGGAAATGGAGGATAATGCTCTAGCTCATCTATCTGAATCTTGATGGTGGATCAAAGAAATTGATGGCTCAAATCTCTCACCCTACAAGTCTGCTTAGATCGACGGTTGAGATTTGACCCTACGAATCGAGGCAAAATCTATGGCATAGAAAATCTATAAAAGTATGCGCTCCCTCATAAAATGAGATATGTATTCTCTTTTCTCTCTTTAACAATTTTCTCTCCCCCTACCCAAAATTCCCCACTCTTCCAAAGGGGAGGCATGCCCCAATGTTATCTTTCTCTAAGTTGCACTATGTTTTGGCGGCACGTACCACCTCTGTTATTTATGGGTGGCAAAAGGGTGGAACCCCTTGCTAGTAGATCTCTCCCTCTCTCTTTATATTCGTCTCTCATCTCGCTAAAATCAAGCTAAGAGGCTTGATCAAAGTTAAGCCATTGAGTGGATTTTTGCCATGGTAGGGAAATCAACATACCGATCATAGATCCAGAGCACCATCGGAAGGATGAGACTCGACGTGGGGTATACTAAGCCTGGTTGAGGTAATCTCTGACAATTTTACTTTTTTAAATATTTACTTCTCTTCCCATAAAGCAATAAATTCTAGTTTTGTTCATGAATAAAAAATTGTATTTGAAGAGGTAGCAATTGAGAACCGATTTTATTTTTCTTTTATTTATTTCAAGAATGGTTTGATTATAATTGGACATTGTAAGTGATATTGCCGGTGTAGAGGTAAAGAATTTTTTAAATATATATACACCGTGCTTTATTATAAAGTCCTTTCAGTTAGGGTTTAAGAGCGAAATGGATTTTAAAAAGTTTCAAAACTTCAAAACGAGTTTTGAAGTTCGATTCATATAGGGGCATCTAGAGTTGAAAAGCTAAATATGTCTTCTCTAAAAACGATGGCTCAAATTAGGCCGTTGGCTCAAACTAGTTGAAAGTGAATGTGTGCACAATAGGCATCCCTGGAGTGTCCCTGGTCTAGTCAAACTACACTAAGAAATGGCCTTCAATCATGTACACTAGGAAATTTTGGACCTAGAGCAACAGTTTATGGGGTTTTAGTCCGAAATGGGGAAGTTGATCTTAGGATATACTTCCTTAGCACATCTCTCCATCCTTGTCAACAGCTCACCTCAAGAATTGTTCACCATTGTCACTATAGTATTCGATCTATCCATCTTGAGATTGCACAATTAAGTCCTAGTTCAAGTGGTTCAAAGCTTTATAAGAGGATGGACCATTTTGCATGGCAATTAGGTGTTCTCTGATTCCAACTTGCAACATAGGAATCTTTTATGGCTGTTTGTGCGATACTTTGAACATGGAAGGGGGATAAAGATGAATATGTCAAAGACAAATTTTGTTAGTCGAACTGAGCCTTTTGATGGAGCTAGCTAAAAGATGGGATGCAGTATCGAAGTCTCCCATTTAGCCTCTGCAAACCAGGTGAAACCCTCTGGTATGGGATAGTTGAGACAGTTGAGAGACAGGGCCAGCTGCTCGAAGATGAAGGTTCCTCCCGATTGGAGCAAGAACATTCCAGTCTTACCATATATATTTATACTCCAAATGCCTTTCTCAGTAGTCAAAAAGATTATCTGAATCATGATGAACTTATAACGGGTAGATATGGAAGTGGGCCATAAGTTGGAGATGCTTTACGAGAAAAAAGACAGATTCAGGAATTAGATATCTAAATGACATGAACCCCACACTGGTACGAAAGTTGCAGTGGGGCTTTGCAACGAGAGGGGGGCTTCCATGGATGGAGGTTACTCAACACAAGTACAGTCCACAAGAGTCCTATTGGCTTACCTAAGGGGTATCGATCTCACCGGCTTCCAAAGTCTAGAAAGCATATTGTCTTCCTACTTGTGTTTCAATTAAAAGGATGAGATAACTAGTGAAATCAGGAGATCTGGTTGGATGTGGAAGGATAGGTGGCTCGGTGAAATCACATTAAAATAACGAATTCAGCACTCTTTAACCTACTAGTGATCAATATATTCTCATAAATTTAGGAGTGATTAGGAGGAATCTAACAGTTGATGAAATGTAGGATTATAGTACTTTGTCCTCCTAAATGATCATTTTATCCCACAAGCATGGGGTGATAAGATAGTATGGGAGCCGTTACCGTCCGTTACGGTTTTGGTGGGATCTCTACACAAGGATCTGTTGCCCAATGATGAGTCCCATATTGTCCCAAGCAAGGATTATACTCTAGACTTGAATTTACTGGCTCAGGAAGATTTTATACATGAAGAAATTCTTTAAGATCTTTCTTGATGACTTGGATAAGCTTTCATGAGAGTGTCTTGTAGTAACATGATGTGCTTCAGAGGAAAATAAAAGGGCACCATAGCCCCACAAAAATTAGTACTCCTAATGTTTTACAGTTCAAGGGGGCATAATTTCAAAAAATTTAACATTAATCAATACTATTAACCTTAAAACATTTCCCACTACAAAAGGGATGTGATGTTAGACTCATTACTCAACGCGTAGCGACCCCTCGCCTTTTACAGGTACAGCTTCCAATGGAACTGCTTTCTGCAATGTGACCCCAAACTTATCTCTCATATCCATTTCCTCTGGTTTCAACCCATCAGGAAGCTCCCAATCGAAAGAATGCAATAACGAAGCAAGCACTATTTGGACCATACGAACCCCGAGAGGAAGACCAGGGCATATCCTTCGACCTGCCCCAAATGGAATATACTGGAAATCTCTCCCTTTGTAATTGATATTCGACCCCACGAATCTCTCTGGAATAAAGGCTGTTGGATTTTCCCACACCTGAACATCTCTACCTATGGCCCAAGCATTTACTAATACCTGTGTATGCTTTGGTATGACATATCCACGAACTTTTACAGTGACATCTGCCCTATGAGGGAGAAGAAGCGGCACCGGAGGATGCAAGCGCAAGGTCTCCTTCACCACTGCTTGCAAGTATGGCAGTCGTCCTAGGTCTGTCTCTTCCACTGTGTGCATTGTGCTGCCTATGTTCTCTTTGAGTTCTTGCTTAGCCATGGCCATCTTGTTGGGGTTGTGAAGTAGTTCAGCCATCGCCCACTCCACTGTTGTTGCAGTAGTTTCACTCCCGGCCGCATACATGTCCTGAAAAATTATGGGAAAATATGTGATCTTCGCAAGAAAAGTTATTCTTCATGTGAGGAAAACCTCATATAAATCATATCTTATGGGAGAGAAAATTTGCCATCAGTATAGGAAAGTCAGAGTCACTCCAAGTTCACAATGTTAAATTGGGCGGCCAGGGGTTTGAATTTTTGAGAGTATGAATGCTTTATCAAAATTCCTACATAGAAGTTGCACAAAAATAGTCCCCTGATTTTGCATGGCATTTGTCGAGTGGTTGTTACTTTTCTATTTTACAAAGCAAATATTGTTACATAAGGTCTAAAAAATGCGGATTTGACTCGGAACTTTGGATCGGAAAACGTCAGTAACGAATAGTTCCTCCTAAGACATGCCGGTTCTACTAAACGCTTCAGTAAACGCTTTTTGTTATTGGATGCGGTTTGTATAGAGCCTAGGCTCTAAACAATCAAATTAGAGCTACCTTAAAATACTGTTGAAAAATGTGGTTTCACCACTGAAAATCTTTGTGCTAGCCTTAAAATAGATTTTCATATTTATTTATGAAGTTTAAAACTTAAAAAACAATGTAGATCGACAGATCTATGAAAACTTGAAAATCTTAAAAATTGACGGTCCAAAAATATTTTACAAAAGATCCTAGTTTCAAAACTTGAAATCAAAAATATTTTACAAAAGACACTATTTTCAAAACTTGAAATCCATTTTTTTCTCATATCCATGCATCTTGATGTCGAGATGTGATCAATTTGAAGATATTTAAGCATCAAAACCTCTTCCAGTGAAATTTTTGAGGTAGGCTCAAATTTGATTGTTTAGAGCCTGGCCCTATATAAACTTTTCCCTTTGTTATTAAACCCAAAGAACCTAATCTATGGTGGCTTTCTTTGTATTTGAATTGCCACTTTCAAATATACACGTCTCACGTGAGCACGAAGATTTGGTGGCCCTATGTTACCAAATTGCACATTTGGTCTCTTGACCAAACTACTGTTAGCGTGACTGTGGTTTACCACAAAACTCTAAAAAAAAATTTCATTTGTCACTAAGTTAAAATTAGAAAAGTGATATTAATCCACGTGAGATCAAACTAAAAAAGAAGAAAAAGTTAAGTTGTCCCCAAAAAAATTCCAATCAAATTCTTGCAAAATAATTTATTTTTATAGATAAATCCCTTTATAAGATGGATATAACTAGGGGAAAAAAATATCATACTTTATATAACACAAAAGTCTCAATTCTTTCATCATTTTTTATTTAGACACAAATTAGCATCGGTATGGACACCTACTGTTTCAACTAGTGTTTTAAAAAATGCCGAGTTGAACCGGACTCGCTCGGTTCGACTCGAGAATCGGCACAGTCCGTGTCTGTTCTGGTATTTTACATAGAATCGCCTGATTCCAGAGAGAACCGGGAGATTCTGTATAGTGAATCGCCGATTCACTGTACCAAATCGGCGAGTCTCGTGAAGAACACGGGATGCACAGTGTTCTTCACGGTTTCTTCAAATTTTGTTTTTTTTTATCATTTTGTTTTTTTTTTTTCCATATGATCGAATATTGAGGCTTTATGCAACTTTTTTCAGCCTTTTCATGCATTAAATGGTAGAAAAATTTCAATTTTTTGGATCATGAAAGTTACGGGTTTTAGGGTTTTTGCTTTTCGTTTTGTTTCATGCCAAATAGGGCATGAATCTATAAAACGTTTGAGGCATATCAATCGTAAATGTGTTCATTAGAAATTTTTGTTACGAATTTGTGATTATCTTTGAGAAAAACAGATTAATTTGGAGATTGAAGCCACGGGTTCATGAAACCAGATAAGAACTCTGCGTTTTTTTTTTTTTCCTTTATTTGATTAATTTTAGTCCATATTTTGAAAATAATCAATTAAATTTGTAGGGTTTTAAATCTTTATCGTGTCTTTTGTCATTTACCATATTCAATTTTATTTAATTTACTCAATTACAGCCTGGGTTTTTAGAAAAACACAGTGATGTCTGTGGAAAAAAAAATTCTACTGTTTTTTTTCTTTTTTCCGCCTTTCGATCTGTTGTTCACGATATATTACAAATAATATGTTAGATTTCTAGGGTTTTGAATCATTATAGTCTTGTTTATAATCAAATGTATTCAATTTGATCTGATTTATTCAATTTGAGCTTCATTATTTTAGATTCAATGACTGTTGTCTGTGAAGAACTGCATTTTTTTTTTTTTTTTTTTTGTATTCCATGATAGAATCTTTTGAAAATTTGTGATTTTCCGAAAAGATGTGAAAATCGTGACAAGGTTTTGATTATCATGAGGTATTAAACCATATTTTTAATTTTTATTATTTGAGTTTGCTGTACTTTTTTTTTTTTATCCATGATCAATTTTTTTGAAAAATGATGATTTTCCTAAAAGATGTGAAAATCGTGACTAGGTTTTTATTATCATGAGGTATTAAACCATATTTTTAATTTTTATTGTTAATGTTTTTGTTGAAAACATTATACGTTGATAGATTATTTATGCAAAAATATGCATGTTATTATATTTTCAATGCAAAACTGTTTTTTTTTAATTTGTTGTTAATGCATTTTTGAGTTGGAATAACTGATGTTAGGTGGCTCTGTGAAGAATTGTTTTTATTTTTTATTTTTTTTAAAAAGATTTTTCTAAAAGATGTGAAAATAGTGACCAGGTTTTGATTATCATGAGGTATTAAACAATATTTTAATTTTTATTGTTAAAGTTTTTGTTGAAAAAATTGCATGTTGATTGAATATTTATGCAAAAAACATACATGTTATTATATTTCTAATGCAAAACTATATTATATTTTTAATGTAGTTTTGCATTAAAAATGTATTTTCAATTTTTAAAATTTTGAATGCAAGAAATACATGTTGTTAAATTGTATTATCTTGAGGAATTAAAGTGAATATCATTGTAAAAAAAGCGTGGCATGTATGACATCTATACTATCTTGTATTTTTTCAATTTTATTATTAAATTTTTAATGCAAATTAAATTAAATTGTATTATCTTGTGTTATATTATCTTGTATGTTTGTAATTGATATGTATGAAAATATTATTGTCAGTAGAAGTATTTTGTAATAACAAATAACAACAAATATAACTACATGAACAACCTGAACATATTATCACTATACATGGTGATTATTTTTGTTGTTGAACTGTCAAGTTAATTTTTATCTTTTTACATATTAAAACAATTGCTTCATGTCAAGATCTGCAGAAGACCCTGCATGGCAACATGGGGTCAGATTTGATCCCAACAAAAAAGATAAAATTATTTGTAATTACTGCCAAAGAGTGATAAGTAGTGAGCTATATAGGTTCAAGCAACACTTGGCAGGGGTTAAGGGACATGTTTCTGCATACAGTAGTGTCCCTAGAAATGTAAAAAAATAGATGACGGCATTTTTCAAGGCTAACAAAGGTAAAAAAATTGTCAAACATAAGATGAATGGGGAGATAGTTAGTTTATATACGCCATCAAGCAGAAATGATCTAGAAGAGCAATATAATAATGACCTAGAAGGGCAATATAATAATGACCTGGAGATAGCCACAAGAATGAGTTTACATGAACAATATCAGAGGGAACGTGGGTTTAGAATATCCGGTGGTTATGACATAAGCATGCATGGTGGGTCTGGCTCAGACATACATGGTGGGTTTAGCTCAGACATGTATGGTGGGTCTAGCTCAAACAAGTATGGCGAGGCCAGCTTAGACATGCATGGTGGGCCCAGGTCGAGCATGTATGGCGAGCCCAGCTCAAATATGTATAGAGGGGTTAGTGGCAGTATGTGTCAACAAGAATCAAATGTTGAAGAAATAGTTCTTAGCTTATCTAGGAGTGCCAATATTGCAGGTCATGGTCGTATAGACCCATTTCTCTCAAAGCCTAAGTCACAACAGATGACCTTAAAAGGCATGGTTAAAGGTACAAGAAACATGTTGGGGAGATATGTTGGTAAATGGTTCTACGATAAAGGAATTCCCTTTGATGCAGCCAATAGCCCACATTTTCCATCTATGGTCAGTGCAATCCAGAAAGCCGGGCCAGGGGTAAAACCCACTATGGCATATGAGCTCAGTGGGTCAATATTAGATGAAGAGGTGGAGGAAGTTACAAAGTGGATTGAAGAATATAAATAGAGTTGGCTAAGGACAGGCATTACTCTCATGAGTGATGGGTGGTTGAATAAAGTTAGCAAAAAGGAGTTTTTAAACTTCTTGACCTATTTTCCAAAAGGTATAGCCTTTTTGTCTAACAAAGACGTATCAGGGATAAAGAAGGACGCAAACTTCTTGGTACGACTACATGATCCGATAGTGGAGGAGGTGAGAGATAAACATGTAGTCCAGTTTATTACGGACAATGCGCGTACATGTGTTTTTACGGGCAGTAAGTTGATGGATAAGAGGAAGCATCTAGTATCGACCCCGTCTGCTGCACACAACATCGATCTTATGTTGGAGGAGATCGGTGAGATCAAAATTGTGAAGGAAGAAGTCAGCCAACGTATCCACAATTCCTCGGAGATGTTGGTGATATTGCACTTAATGAGGGAGAGTGGGAAGGGGGTCTAAGGGAAAATGAGAGAGATGATGATTCTGAGGCCACCCTATCCCAGCCATATTATTCACGTATCGCGTCCCAACGGCAACGGGGTAGGGATGAGCACGACAGTGTAGGTGAGCATGAAGGATGGACAAGCTTCGGGGATTTTGGATTGGGAACACAACAGATCACTAACACTCAGGGATTTGGGTATAGTTAGACGCCTGCTAATATCGATAATTCGTTTTTAGATCGATTCAATGAATTGTCAAACGAATTCAATCAATGGCACCAACGTGACCAAGAAGAAGAACGACGTCGTCTGTCATTTTATTTTTAGATCGTATGTTACTAATTGTATGCTTTATTATAGTCCATATATGTTGATATACTTATTCCATGATAATTCTATGT